AAAGGGAAAACTCTCCCGTGGATTTAGCTGGCAGGGGAACGCCTTTAGACTGATATATAGGGCAATTATAGATATTCAGTAGGGGAGAATGTGGAATTAAAGATTAGAGGTTTTAGGAATTTGTTAAATTTTTAGAAGTTTTTAAAAGAGGGAAGAGTATTTTTCGCGAGATCTTCTTAAATTTTCAGGCTTTCCATGAGTTTTTATGATTTTTTTTTTTTTGATCTTAAAGCAAAAGGGGTTTTATATCCACAGCCATTGTTCTAAGTCCCCTTCCCACCAGGCTTCCTGATTGGCTGTTGGAAATGTGTGACTAACATTTCTCACCTCCCGCCAGTGGGGGTCATGTATCACAGAACAAAGGGAGTATTTGAGAGACTATACTTGGGTGGAATTTCAGGTAATTTCGGGAATTAAATATACGGCTCTTTCCAGATTACCTGATCAACCCTATATTATCTAAATGGGGACCGGGGGAAATGGGTGTATTTATTAATTCCTCCTTTGAAGTCCATCCTGTTTTTCCCTATAAGACATGTAACTAATGCTGTCTATAATAAAATCTTATTTCCCCATCATCTCAAATACTAAATTTTGGATATATAGTTCCCATTGCTGAGTATTTAGGGTGTTTAAAGTCTATAACTCTTTTTTATTGTTTTTGTAGTATATTTTTGTAATTATTCGTGAACTTTTAGACTTAAATGTCCTAAATTTCACCTCTTTTTTTCAGAATCAACATTTTCTCTGTGTGGGAAAAAAAACTCTCTGTTTGCCGGGCCCTCGTATTGGACTCATGGTAAACAACTGTTAATGTTTTCCCCCTTGTGAACAATAGAAGGGTAATAGTTTCAGAGTCTGTTGGTTCATCACACTCGCAGGTTTTGGTTAAGTTTTTCAACCAGTGGAGTTCCCGCTCATTATTGAAAATGTTTGAAAGCGAGTCCTATCTGGGTTTGTTTGACTTTCTGAAAAAGCATTCTTCCAACCTCAATAACAAAAGTCCTTGTTGGGCGTTAAACAGTCTTTTTTTGTTGGAAAGTTTTAAAATCCCCCCTTTCTTCATTTCTTTAATTAATCCTTGATGGGTTCCAACCAAAAACAAAATTAACTCTTAGCATCCGGGCAAAGGAGCTGTTTTTCCCAAAAATTTTATGTCTTGATAAAATCATATTTTTGAACATGATTCAAACCCACAACAAAAGAAGTGACCCCTCAGCCCCCTTTTAAACACCCCAAACCCCACATTTGTTTCAGCCTGCGGGGGCAGAAATGATCACAAAAATGACACTTTGCCCCCCATTTCTCAGTTTAAATGCAGTCCAAAAACCCCTAAATTCCATAGTAAAGGGGCTTAGCCCTTTTGTGAGGGATGCAGACCACTCATTGTACAGCTCAATGTAACCACCTGATGGCATCATGCTACAAACCAAAACCTTTAGCTTTTCACCAAACCTTTTTCCCCAAAACCATTGGACTCTTTTTATACCAATACTTCCCTCTTTTGGTCCATTTATGGACCAGGTAAGACCACTTTGTATCAACACAGAACTGTACAGGAGCATGAAGAAATCTACCCAACAATGACACAAGAACCTCATCGTAGATCTCACCAAGATCTCGAAATCCAGAATTCTCCATCACCATCCCCCCACCTCCATCCCTGATCCCTACAAGACAGAAGACACAGAAGATTCTAGAAGTCAACCAAGAAGATGATGGAGCTGCTGACAGGAGTAGGGTGAGCGGCTGCCGGGGAATTCTGGGGACATTCATCACAGTAACCAGACAAAGGGATGTGTCCTATATGGTGACTGTATCATTGTGTGTGTGTCAAGGTTCCTATAAAAATGTGTCAGGGAGTCACTGTCTATTTCTCCATAGGAGGAGTGGGACATAGTATTATAGAAGGACACAAGGATCTCTACAAGGAAAGGACGTCCATGATGGACAAATTAGCCGCCCCTCACAACAACCGGGTAAGAGGAGAGACTTTATTGTTAAGGAGAGAGTGCAGTTACGGAGGATCCCCCCGGATTCCACACAGGAAGGTCACACCATCCCTCAACATCATCAGGTAGATGATGACAATTATTGGTAGTTGTGATTTATACACAGCATGTTTGTTACATTATGAATGTTTTATTATATCTTTCAGAGTGGAATCCTCGGGGATGATAATATTGATGTTAAAGAAGAGTATAAAGAGGAGGATGAGGAGTATGGAGTGATGGAGGAGTTTTCAGATCAGGACACAAGGATATGATGGAGCCACCTAATACCAGGAACCCACCAGAGAGATGTCCCCGTCCTCTGTATTCCCTGGGATTCCACACAGGAAGGTCACACCATCCCCTCCATTGACAAGGTTGGTGGGATGGTAATCATTAGAACATGGACTTGTAGAAGTATTTTAGTACATATGTGTGCTATATGTGGACTTTATGTAATCAATTACAGATGATATTTCTCTCATTTCCTTGGATATTAGAGTGAGATCCAATCGATATAGAATTTGAGGTGAAAGCAGAAGAAGAAGAGGCGTATGTGAGGGATGATCAGCAGTCTATGGAGGAGGATGGAATAACGGGGACATTTATAAGAGGAGGACACTCCTACAGAGATCAGCACAGGTGGGTCATGAACACTAAATCCATTCCCTCCACCCATACTGCTCACTGATTGGTCCAGAGTAGGGCGGGGACTGGGTGATATCAGCCTGTAATCCCTGGTCACTTTCCTGAGCTGTGTTTCCCCGTCCTGTATTCCTGGATTTCTCTCGGATAATCTTCCTTCTCTGTGCTGCAGACACAATTTATGTCATCTAGACTGGATTATGGAGGTTCTGGGGTTCAGCTGGCAGCAAAATGTTGATTTTTACTCTAAGCATTGCCTATGTAGGCAACCCACAGGACATCTGTTTGTGACTGGGGGTTTCTGCCTTGTAATGCCTGACTCCTCCAGGGGACTCTTTGACTGTGTTTCAGCCTGCCTTGTGCCTGACTTGCAGGGGACCTTCTCTGTTATCTGGCTGGCAGACCACAATTTATGTGCCCAGCTGGAGGGATGATGTCTGTAGTGTCTCAGACCCAAGTCACTGAGTGCAGTCTCAGGAGATGGGAGGCAGCGGTGTGGGATCTTCTGCAACTTGTCTACAGTAAACAGTTAAACTTCCACTGATTCTTAAATACCAATATTTATGAGTCCTGACCCCTGACCCCTCACTATATATCTGTTGTACATTAGATACGGCTGACCCCTGCACTATATACACTTATGTACATGTACATACTCACGACCCCTGCAAGTCCTGAGAGTTGTACATTACATACTCCTGTCCCCTGCACTATATACTCTGTATAGTTGATACATTACATACTCGGATCCCTGCACTATTTTACTCTACAGTTAAACATTACATACTCCTGACCCCTGCACTAATTACTAATGTTGTACATTACATACTCCTGACCCCTGCACTATATACTCTATTGTACATTACATCCTCCTGACCCCTGCACTATATACTCTATGTTGTACATTACATCCTCCTGACCCCTGCACAATATACTGCTACTATGTTGTACATTACTCCATTTCCCTGTACATTACATATACCCTGCACTATATACTCTATGTTGTACATTACATACACTCCTGACCCCTGCACTATATACAACTATGTTGTACATTACATACTCCTGACCCCTGCACTATATACTACTATGTTGTACATTACATCCTCCTGACCCCTGCACTATATACTCTATGTTGTACATTACATACTCCTGACCCCTGCACTATATACTCTGTTGTACATTACATCCTCCTGACCCCTGCACTATATACTCTGTTATACATTACATACTCCTGACCCCTGCACTATATACTCTATGTTGTACATTACATACTCCTGACCCCTGCACTATATACTCTATGTTGTACATTACATACTCCTGACCCCTGCACTATTATACTCTATGTTGTACATTACATACTCCTGACCCCTGCACTATATACTCTATGTTGTACATTACATCCTCCTGACCCCTGCACTATATACTCTATGTTGTACATTACATAGTCCTGACTTCTGCTCTCCCCCTCCCCCCCACTGCTATATATACACAGTGATAATAATGTGATAACATCCTCCAACTTTGGACCCTTAAACAGAAAGTGATAATGAGGGAGGAGTCAATACCCCAATGATGGTGGTCTTCAGGATCAGTCCAGTCTTCATCTTGGTTGTTCTCCCCCCATCCTCACTCTCTGACCTCTGGTGGGGCTCAGCCCCGCTGTTCTTCATGACTAAATCATGGACTAAATAAGGAAGTGCAGTACTTCTTGTGTTGGGAAGATGGCGATGAGTGATAGAGGGGGTGGGGACCCTCGTCCTATAATCCCCTCATCACTGTCCCTCCTATAAAAGACAGTTCTGGTTGTTTCCTCACTCTCTGACTAAGGTCCATGAATAAAGAAATGACCTGGTAGGAGATCAGAGGAGCCATTTCCTAGTTCCCTTGAGGGTGGAATTGTAAGCTCCTCAGAGACCAAGCTGCCTGATGTGGGCGGAGTCCTGGTTTGGGGGAACCAATCAGCTCCTGTCTAGTAATCCTCTTTGTCTTTGTATTTTAGTCCATGGCCGGGAGATGAGGAAAACCTCCGAGGATTGTCTCACTTTGTCTCCAGACTGGAAAGTAGAAGATGAGGACATCACACAGTATAGTCCAGGAGAAAACCCGGCTCCCTCCAATGTCCATCCGGCACCACCCAGTGTAGATGGACCATCGGATTCCTCGTATCCTGAGGAACCTCAGACTGTGCGGGACCGGGCCGGCCTTCCAACAGGGAAGAGCTTTCCCTGTACTGAGTGCGGGAAGGTTTTTCATCATAAATTCCTTGTTATTAGGCATCAAAGGTCTCACACGGGGGAAAAACCATATTCCTGTCCTGAGTGTGGGAAACGTTTTTCTCAAAAGTCCCATCTTGTCAGACATCAGAGATCTCACACTGGGGAGAAGCCACTTTCCTGTTCTGTGTGCGGGAAATGTTTTTCACAGAAGTCCAGTCTGCACAAACATCAGAGATATCACACGGGGGAGAAGCCGTATTCCTGTCCTGAGTGCGGAAAGTGTTTTTCAGAGAAGTTCAATCTTTACAGGCATCAGAGATCTCATACAGGGGAGAGAAGCCATATTCCTGTCCTGAGTGTGGGAAATGTTTTTCACTTAAGTCCAGTCTTTACACACATCAGAGATCTCACTCAGGGGAGAAGCCGTATTCCTGTCCTGAGTGTGGGAAATGTTTTTCAGTGAAGTCCGATCTTTCCATACATCAGAGATCCCACACAGGGGAGAAGCCGTATTCCTGTCCTGAGTGTGGGAAATGTTTTTCACATAAGTCCAATCTTTACAAGCATCAGAGATCTCACACAGAGGAACCTCAGACTCTGCAGAACCAGGCCGGCCTTCCAACAGAGAAGAGGTTCCCCTGTAATGAGTGTGGGAAGGGTTTCCGGTGTAAATCAGAGCTTAATGCGCATAAAAGATTTCACACGGGGGAGAAGCTGTATTCCTGTCCTGAGTGCGGGAAATGTTTTTCAAGGAAGCCCAATCTTCACAGCCATCAGAGATCTCACACAGGTGAGAAGCCGTATTCTTGTTCTGAGTGCGGGAAATATTTTTCAAGAAAGTCCTATCTTTACAAACATCAGAGATATCACACGGGGGAGAAGCCACATTCCTGTCCTGAGTGCGGGAAATGTTTTTCACAGAAGTCCAATCTTTACAAGCATCAGAGATCTCACACAGGGGAAAAGCCATATTCTTGTTCTGAGTGCGGGAAATATTTTACAAGGAAGTCCAGTCTTTACAAGCATCAGAGATCTCATACAGGGGAGAAAGCATATTCTTGTCCTGAGAGTGGGAAATGTTTTTCAGTGAAGTCCCATCTTTATACACACGAGATCCCACACAGGGGAACAGACATATTCCTGTTCTGAGTGCGGGAAATGCTTTTCACAGCAGTCCCATCTTTCCAGACATCAGAGATCCCACACAGGAGAGAAGCCACTTTCCTGTCCTGAGTGAGGGAAATGTTCCTCACTGAAGTCCTGTCTTCCTGTACATCAGGGGTCCCACACAACCCTGGAGGTGTATTAGTGCCTTGAGTGCGGGAAATGTCTTCTAGATGAATGTTGCTGGACATCCCAGCTCTCATGTGGGGAAGAAGCACACCCTGATATACACCTCAGATATACTCCATGGCTGATCCTTATCATGGAAGAAACAGTTCATTAGGAGATCAGAGGTCCCCAAAGACATGGATGAAGTATGGGACAGGGTTGGCCATTGATGGTAGAAGAAGAATAAAAATGGAGTCATTGGCTGAGTTTATAAATTGTTGAATGAATGGACCATCATTCACCCAGACGTGACCAGTTTGGTCCATACTTGAGGAGAAGTTCCCCTTTCCGGACAGAATTTCCCTTCCCATAATACACAGAAGCGTTCTCTGATGCCGTCTCTGGCCCGGCCGTCCCGATGGGCTTTCCTCTCCCCTCATCCACAGGACCATCACTTGTCTGTCAGTTTATTGGAACAGATTTTCAGATTGCATCATTTCCTGTCCATGATATCTCAGCATTCACTTCCTGTAGGCCACTTCCCAGAAGTCTTCACTTCCTTGTTGCATCACAGGGGGATGTGACAGGGCGTGTTCACCACTCTGGACCACACCTCCCTCATTATAATACCTTCCTATACAATTTGATTGGACAATCTCCTTTAGATCTCCCACCAGGTATGTAGTACAAGGGCAGACAAAGTCCAGGGCAATGAAATGTGTGTACCCCATTATAAATGTGCAAAGAAAACAAATAAAAAAATGGCAAACGCATGTAAATGCATAAAACACAGAGAGTGATAAAAGTGATGATATAACGATGAGAAAAAAATAATAGGAAAAATGCAGCACAACTAAATGTGTAGAACTTCCTATAAATGTGCAAAAAAAAACAAGAAAATCACAAACTGGTAAACGCATAAAACACAATGAGTGATAAAACTGGATAAAGTGCAATAAACCCCGACTTCCCTTGTCCATACAGAGCTTCATAATCCATCGTTCCCCTTTAAACGTCATAAATACTATAAACGCATGTAAACGCATACACATAAAACTAATAGAAACAAACACAGAATCCATAAAAGTCCCGAATTATCTAGTGAGAGATTTCTGTCTTCCAAGTATTGTGTTCTGTGACATGCACACGTCATGAATGCTCAATACATAGTTGCTGACGTGCCCCCACGCACGGTGCGTTTCAGGCCCCATTCACACCCAGAGTAGAGGGAACGCAGGTTTTTTGACACACGTAGGGCGGCCCATTAATTGCAATGGGCTGTGCTACATGGCAGAGTAGCGCTCATGGGACATTTTGGCGTGGTGCGTGTTGCATATTTTTTACTGCGTGTGTAGTGATGTGATCATTTCTTTGCCCATTTTCCAGTGTATACTTCTGTTATGCAGTGTTTGTTTTGCCCTTTTCCAATATGGCTGCTATGCTCTCTGTGCACTGAGGATGAGGTCATCAGAGAGAGCACTTGTGGAAGAGAGAGGTGTGGATTTCCTGCAGAGAGAGCTCAGACTGTCAGTGTTGCAGCCTCCCCTCACTGAGACATGCAGAAAACACTGTTAATGCTTTAATGTTCCTGTGTGGAAGATACTTTATGTTGGATGGTCACTGAATGTGATTTCTCCAATACATGGACTGTCATATACAATGCTGTGTGGATTACTGTCTATGTGGATGATACATTTCTCAGTTGGGATTTCACTTGTTATCCACAAGCCCCAATTGAGTGGAGGAGCTAGTGCTTGTTAGAGATCTTGTCCTGATCACACAGATTATTATACAGACTCTGCTCCTGAATTTTATACAGGTGGGGCCATCATACCCCAGTAGCCAAGGATTGTACAAAGAGCGCTACACGTGTTTTGCTGGATTTGTTCACCGTTTTTTAATGTGGTAAAATATGTTCTTGTTTCTGTGTTGGGTGTGCCGTTACCAATTAATGACACTGAAAGGACAAATAGGTCATTTTAGGTGTATAAAGGGGCCATACACTATACCATCTGATTGTACAATCTTCTTTAGATTTACCAAAACAATATAATAGGAGGACCTTCCATCTATCCGATCAGGCTGGCCCTTGCACTACATCAGGGGTGTGTCCTGGGGGCTGCATGTGGCCCCAGGGAATTTAGCATGCAGCCTGAGCCCATCTGGGGTAGCCAGGCAATGCACGTGGGGAGAGATCCGGGGATGCTGTGAAGAAAACATTGATGGGTGAAAGGTGTGTACCAATGAGGTCAGTGCAGGATTCCTAATGAGATCAGCTGGTAATCTACTTCCTGGTCTTACTGGTTCCTCTGTCCTCTGTCTGGTGAATAGTGATTATACTCAATAATATTAATTATAATCCATAAAATATTAAATAAAACAAAATTCATTGGTGAAAATATCAAAATATAAAGTCCATGCAAAACGTGATGGTGCCACGTGATCTTCACTCTAGTGGAGAAAACAAACACCGATCCCCAAATGGCAGCAATGCCCGCTCACCTCAACACCCTGACCCACACAGGGCTAAAAGGCTATAAATTGACAGTGTCAGGTCCCTGGATTCCACTTCTCATGACAGGGGGACCATATGATATAATAAACAATTCCTCCTCTATAAAAGCCGCACCTTATTCCACACTCCACCAACCGCTCAGGGTAATATGTATGAGATACAAAGCAAAAATGCCTTCCATTGTGCAGTATTTTAGTTAAATAAAACCAAACAAAACAATTCACAATTGCACTCACATGTGTATCCAGTTCAAAAATGCCTGTCACCCACTTCCTATGGGTGTACTGATGGTAACTGGGTATACCAAGATGGCCACTGCAAGTGGAAATGTGTCAACTCGCAACCGGAAATAGACGTACCAACGAGCGTTGTCACGTCCCTCGTGACTTCTTCTTAAAGATCACGTGGGCATCAATCACGTTTTTTGCATGGACTTTATATTTTGATATTTGCACTAATGAATTTTGTTTTATTTTTATATTTTATGGTGCAAATTATAATTATTATTTATTGAGTGTAATCACTACTAGTTCACCAATGAATTTTGTTTTTTATTGGATTTACAACTATTAATATTGAGTATAAAAACCACCATCACATTTGAGTGTTCACTTTATTTAGAGATTGGTTCACTGTATATTATTAAATAATTCATATTTTTCACTGGAGCACCATTATGTTGTTCATATTTTAGGCTATTTATTATTTAATATATTGATATAGCGCTTCACTATTTATAATAATTTGTGGCCTGTAATTTCATGCTGCTCGTTGGCTCCATATAGTGGCCATTAAAGTTAGTAATTGCACTACATTTTTCCTGATATGGGCTATCAATTTCCCAGACGAAATTACTGTATATGATGGTTCAATAGATGGCAGCCGCGACAATCCGGAACAGGAAATACACTGTGTATACCTTGAATCTATTAGGCCCCTCATATATTCATGGCTGACGTGGAATCGTAGCGTTTTTTTTTTTGGGAATCACAGTCTTCTGGTTGAATTTCCTATGAAAAGGCCCTCTTCCTTAAGTGCTCTTGGTCAGGATGGCTTCTTACTAATACTGAGCTCATACTCCCACACTTGTGACTCAGGGACATTGAGGAAAAGGGAAGTTCTCTAAAACCAACAATATTAATCTTGAATGAAAATTTGACATTTGACATGAGAACCAGAACCGGCCACCCCCGCACCCAATGCAAGCATTTTCCATTTTATATCAACCACTTAGCAAATATCTAACATTATTTCACTTCCATTCACACAGAAGGGATGTTTCGCACTTTCCCCGGGGTAAACGCTAGTGGTCATTTATGGATCCATGTAGGAAATTTCTATAAGACGGGGAAATATTTGGGGCAGGGGAAATGAATAGAAAATCCCCGCAAGTTTTTACCAGGTGGGAGCTAGGGGGAGCCTAATGGGCACCCCCGCAGGTGTTTCCCCTCTAGCCCACATTAACCTTTTCCCCTGCCCGAGCTTTTTTCTGCATGATTTCGCACAATGGGGGAA